CCTTTTCTGCCCCCCCTCCCCCTACCTCCGGGATGAAGATGAACTATAAGATAGTGTGACCTTGGAAGCCAGTATGTCATGGTGTCCAGTTCTATCTATTTATCTATTTATACATCTATCTATCTACCTATACATTTATCTATCTACCTATCTATTTATCTACCTACCAACCTATATACCTAATAATCATTTTTTTTTCTATTTGTCTATGGATTCTTAATATTCAAAATATTGATGGTCTTTATTATTTCCTAAATATCTTTCTATATATTCTATACATCTTTTCATTTGTTTAATTTTATATATATCTATTTATTTAATTATATATTTATCTATCTATTTCTCTATCCATCTATTTATCTATTTAGAATTCTGTTTCTGTATCTGGAGTGCAGCAGGTCCCTACACTTAACAATGCTCAATAACAATTTCAAAAAACAGTTAACATTGGACTCTTTTAGACTAAAAGAGGGGGGAACCACCCCCCCCCCTCCCCCGAGCATTAGTTCATTTTCAGAGGGTGGGGGTATTAGCACTTCATGCCTTCAAAAAGATTCAAACAGTTAAAAGCCTCTTTCACACAAAGGCAAAATACAAGTAAAAAAATAGAAAGGCCAAGAGATTTAGTTTTTATACTTTTTCTTAAAGTTGTCCCATCGCCATAATCTGTGGGACTTATACAAATATATTAGTCCCATCCATGTTATCTCTGGACAAATATTTACAATAAATCTATCTGTCCTCTTTGTAATATCTGTTGTTTCTGTCCCTTCTGTGTAATCTGTGGGACATATATTAACAATACATCTGTCTGTCCCCTTTGTGTTATAAATTGTTTCTGTCCCATCTGTGTAATCTGTGGTACATATATTTACAACACATCTGTCTGTCCCCTCTGAATTATATGTTGTTTCTGTCCCATCTGTGTAATCTGTGGTACATATATTTACAACACATATGTCTGTCTCCTCTGTGTTATCTGTTGTTTCTGTCCAATCTGTGTAATCTGTGGGATATATATATATATACATTGCTGCTCTAGATTAACCGTGTAGATATCACTAGAACTACAAATCCATGTCAGGGGTC